CTTAAAAAAAAAAAAAAAAAAAAAGTAGCTGGCACTTCCTGTTGGACTCTTGCTTGACTTGAATTATTTGGCGAATCAGGGATCAATGTGTAAAGCATAAACTTACAGCTAAGTGACAGACCTCAGGGACTTTCCAGGGGCAGAAACAACCTGATGGGAACTTCAGAAACTTTTCTTGAGAAAACAAAGATCTTTTTCTCAATTTATGAACGTACAAAAACGTGTCTGTTGCACAAACACTGGTACTCATTTCTACATGGACATGCACACATCCACACCCACAGTCTCCCCATGGTGTATCTGTTTGTTCACTTGCACGTGCGCGTGAGTCACAATCATGTTGATAACCTTCTGCACAAGTCTCCAGAACATAATGGACCCCCTGCTATGAGAACTGTCTGTATTCAAACATGTCAAGAGCTGAATATTTAAAATCTGCTTGGCACACCAAGTTTGGTTTTAAGAGGACAACAGGAGTGGAAGAGAAAGATCAAAAGAAGAAAAAATGAGAAAACAAAAAAGATAATCACATCTCGATGGGAACTGGTAATGCTCTAATTAAATGTACTTATACCTAAGTCTTATCACATGCTCCGGAGTGAGCGCTTACATGGCCCCTTGAAACTGCAGCCTTGGAGGCAGCTGCCAGAGCCCTGTGTGAAAGCTGTCGCCTCTGCTGGGATCCGCACTGTTCTGTGTGTGTGTACCTATAATCTGTCCTTCCTTTCATGGAAGAGGCCTTTGCTATTTTTCTATTTGGATAGTCATGACAGATGAAGTTGTCCCTTGAACTTAAATATATATATATGAATGGTCTTCAAACGGGTGTGAAAAAATCAGTCCACGAGGCTGCAAGATTCTCTTGTTTTTTTCCTCACTTACAGGTTAAAATGAGATAAGTAAGAAACCCTCTCTAGTCTTCACCTTGTTCAGGTAAAATCATTTGATGTCTGGAGCATAATAGGAGCTCTCCCTGAGTACAAACCCTAAGGCAGCCTTTTCAGATGTCACCAAACCAAGCAATTTTAACTTTGGAAAGAGTTTCTAAAGCCTATGTTAATTGTTGAGAGTCCTGTAGAATCAGCATGTCTTGAAATTATTTCAAAATGCTGGGATTTAGGACAAGAGACAGCGTGGAAGGAAGTCGCTGTATTTTCTAGTTTGTTTTTTTTTCTTTCTCTTCTTTGTGGAGTATTTAAACACCATGATTCAATCTCTTATTAGTTTTCTTTTAAAAATAACTAACACAAACCCTAGCTACTTAGGAAAATCTGTTCAGCGGCGCACAGATATATTCTACATGTCTCATTATCATTAACAGCCATGCATGGCTAAACCTCCCCCCACTGCACTGAATATTTACCCCCTGGCTTTGTAAAGTGATGCCTAAGGGTGGTTTTACAAAGGAATTTCTTAACCATTTTCTATACTATGCAGCACACTGCTATCCCACTATGTGCACACTATCTCTTGGGTGATTGTTAACCATTAATGATAGTTGGTGCTCACTCCAGAAAACTAAAATCCAAACTGCTTGTATATAAAAATCTGTCGGGGGAGAATAGGTCTACTTTTTGTCTTAACTCAATGACAAGCTTCTTTTCCCATTGTTATTCTAGTTTCTGCCTTTGGTAATTATTGAATAATCAAGTGCAAGGCATTCTGGCTTCTTTCACTCCTTCAACATTATAGAATTAACCCACAAAGATGCAAGTTGGACACTCACTGTGATGCATATGGTCTAGGAATTTTAAGGACCAGTTATGCCCCCTGGATCTTGGGACCCATCTGGGAGAATGAAGTGTAAGTTATTTTTCTCTGAGCTTCCTTGATTTTGCATGATTTAGACATCGGTGAGGCATTGGAGATGGGTGATGTTGGAGCGGGTGCTTGAAAAATCAGTGGGGTTTAGAAAAAGAGGGGACCAGAAGACTTCAGTCCCTAAGGAAACAGGTTTACTGGGGTGGCTTTTCAAGAAGAATGTCTTCTATGTGCCACACCCCTGAGCCAAAAAGCTGGGACCCCTTTGGCTTAGGTGACTCCCATCTGTGTTGGGTGTATACATTTACATGCTGGCATTTTAAATAACCCCAATTTTTCTCTCCCTTTTTTTTAAACTGGCCGTACTGTTCATGTTGGATGTCAAGGTTTTCTTCTACTCGCTAAGTCTTCCCTGTGTAATCTAATTCTTCATTTCTTCCTAGAAAAATAAGATATTTAAATCAAATTCAACCTTTCTTTATTAGTAAAGTCCTTCTTTGTAAAAGATGCAGGATTAGTCCCTCCCATGAGGTCATCTGTACCATCTCCCTTTATTTCTCCCCGGTGATGAGGAGACCTTTACATCTCACCAAAAAGCCCTAGTAAATAAGGAGTTAAAATGAAGGCAGGCTCACTGGTTTGCTGAGATCTGTCAGAGTCTGACTGGCTGGCTACATATCTGTCTCTGGAACAATAGGTACCTGTATTCTGCACGGACGGCTGGGCAGTGCTAGCACTCTGGAGAAGGTCTGCCTCTGTCTGTGCTTTCCTGGTGAGAATCCCCAGTGACAGTCCCACTTTTCAGTGGAGGAGAAAAAGCCTATCTGTCTACTCTCTTGATGAAGGACAGAGCTTTGATAATTTCTGTTCAAGCTTGACTTGGCCGGAGGTTTTAGGTTCTTAGCCTCTCTCCCTCTCTCTCTCTCTCTCTCTCTCTCTCTCTCTCTCTCTCTC